CTGCTCCCCCTCCCTCTTAAGGATCCCGAAAACACGATCCGAGACATCATGGACCCTGGCACCTGGGAGGCAACACACCAACCGCGAGTCTCTCTCGTTCCCATAGAATCTCCTATCTGTCCCCCTAACTATGGAGTCCCCAATGACTAATGCTCTCCTCCTCTCCCCCCTTCCCTTCTGAGCAACAGGGACAGACTCTGTGCCAGAGACCTGTACCCCATGGCTTACCCCTGGTAAGTAGTCCTCCCCAACAGTATCCAAAACGGTATACTTGTTATGGAGGGGAACGGCCACAGGGGATCCCTGCACTGTCTGCCTGTTCCCTTTCCGTCCCCCAACTGTAACCCATCTACCTTTTTCCTGTACCTGAGGTGTGACTACCTCCCTGTAACTCCTTTCAATTACCCCCTCAGCCTCCCGAATGATCTGAAGTTCATCCAGCTCCAACTCCAGTTCCAGTTCCCTAACGCGGTTTCTGAGGAGCTGGAGTTGGGTGCACTTCCCGCAGATGAAGTCAGTGGAGACGCTAGGTGACCCTTCCCTCCCACATTCTACAGGAGGAGCGTGCAACTGCCCTAACATCCATTCCCACTGTTCTGAATTCTAAAGAAAAACTAGTAACCTTACCAAATCGGCGCTCGGAACCTTTTTTTTGGTTAGAGGAGGATGGGTGGGAGACACTACCGAAGTAGTGTTTCAGGTAGAGCAACCACCCAAATATATTACCTCACTTACTCAGCCATCCTGTGTCCGCTCCTGCTCAGCGTGCGCTCCGCCTATTCACGAAGTAAGTTTTTAAAAGCATTAACTTACCTTCCCGGCAGCCCCCTTGTCCTCGCTGTCACTGCGTATTATGGCTGAGGAGCTTTTGACAGTGGCCTTTCCGGCAGCTACTCCAAGCTTTAGGTCCATACCTTTCTATAAAGTGCTAGATGATAGAATGTATCAGTATCAGTTGCAACAGTTGATCATGTACAACTTTTGGCCTTGGAAGATCAACAAGTTTTGGGCATATAAAATACTGACTGAGTTGATAGTCCTCCAGTAGGGGTGCGTGTGTGTGTATGTCTATATGTACTGGGAAACAGCCTTTGGAGTATTGAGTCCTACATCATGGTGCTGTTTTGGATCAATCATGACAAAAAAAAACAACACACTTACTACATCTCTTTCCAGAGGCAAAGGCACTTCCAAGTGGTGACAGTACTCTATTTCTCCATCATTGTCACATCTAGGCAAATGTGTAGAGAGACTCTGGGCATTGCAGGAAGAACATAACACAAAGGCACCTTCTCACCATAAGCAAGTAATGTCTTGGTGCTTGTTTGAAAATTCTGATGAAGCATTCTGCCAAACTAATTAGATTATTGGCTCTGGGATTCACCTCCCTTTTCCCATGGGCCTTAAGGATGTTAAGCATAGACAATTGCTTGATGACTTATAGTCAAAGATGATTTTCTGCAGAAACTTATTCACAAGTTGATTAGACATTGTTGAACTGAATGGAGAATTCAGACTGATGTAGCTCGACCTACATTTTATGGCACAAGGAGCAGGTAGAACCACTGCATCTAGTAACGTTTGTTGGCTCAAGCAGTGCATGGATTCTCAGTAAATCACATATGAAGGTAGCACCTGGGGATGTGGGAAAGTAGAGTATGTTTGTTTTTTTTCCCCCCCTCCCTTTTTTTTTTAAAAAATCTGAAGATTTGCCTACTGTTTCCCTGCAGACATGGTCCATTTTCAATACCCTCTCAAAGCACAAGTAATCAAGACAATGGAAGAAAAGGCAATATTCCATATCTGTGTTCTGCATAGCACTTTGCACCTGATTGCCAGGTTCTTCCCTACAGTGGAGAGGGAGCATTGTTCCCACATACCCAGTTTTTGGCTTATCATGGCTATATACTCTTTTCCAGTTTTTCCAAGGAGTCCTCTTGAGCATTATCCTGAATGTTTCACGTAGTCTGACATGACAGTGACGGAGAACGAATTATTTTGGCTTCGTTTCTGAAGAATATGACCTCACACTTGCCACTATTTACTTTGGCTCCTGATGCCAATTTGGTGATGAATGCCACTCAGTCTGATAGTGGATCAAATAGAATACTGAAATTGCTTGAAACCAACCAAAAATAGCTGGAGAAAATGAGCAGGTCTGGCATCATCTGTGAAAAGAAAACTGAGTTAATTTTGAGTCCAAAAATTACCTGACCATGTGCCATTTCCTGATTGGAAGATACTAGGAGACCTGTTCCAGTGTCTTGCTGATGCTTCTCTGGTTGCTGAATCAATGAAATGTACAAGAGCTTTGCAGGTACTGAATCCTGTGTTTTCTCTCATTCACAATAGCGAAGCATCTGAATTAGTTTTGCAGCCCCCCCCCCCCCAGTTGAAAAATGAGGATTGAGGTTCTTTAGGAAGCCAAAAGCCAGCATTTGTGTCTGGCTACGGGGGTATTGTCCACCTCACGCATGCACTCTGCCACTTCTCTTAGGGGTTTGAGATTTTTGCAAGTAAGTGAAATGTTGACTGTTCATAGGTGTTCATCTCTGGTTAAAACCTATTTCATTTCAAATGAATGGTGGGACTTAAGTACAGAAACACAGTATGTGGTTTTCTGGTAACATGGATCTATCCAATAGGTAAATTGGATTTGGTATACTTTGTTAAAATGCTGAAGTTTTGTGATGACTCCAGGCATAGCAGGGTGTGATATCCAGCATACTACCTTAGTGAGGCTGAACAGTTTCCAGTTTCCAACTAGTTCATGCAATTAAAGTTTTTTTTAAAAAATGCTGAATATTCTTAATTATCTTTTAATGTTGTTGCTTTGCTAATTTTAAGTCATCTGTTCTGTTGAATTGTTAGATCTGCTGAACGAAATCCAAATAATCTTGTTTAGTAGCTTAAGATTTTCTTTTATATGCATTAAGAACAATCCCTGTGTGTGGAGTGGAAGTGTTCAAATTCCATTATGGTATAAATTTGAGGACTCTGCATAGTGTATCTACTGTTGACTAATATTTAGTGCACAGGTGACCTGTTCTAATATTAACCTGGAGTATTGAAGTATTGGATCTTCTTGAGCAAATTTCCTAGGCTGTCCAGTAAAGAAAATCATCGGGACTGAGGGACAGTTATTTTTTTAGCACTGTTGTAGATGTTCATAAAACAGTTTGCAGGTTTCTTTCTCCAGCTGACATATTGCTTTAATTTAGATAATATGACTGTAAAGAGCTGCAATGCTGAGATCTGAAACAAAAACAAGCTGCTGGAGAGTAACTCAGCAGCTATGGTAGTATCTCTGATGAGAATAATAAAAAAGGTGAAATCACAACTGGGCTGCTGCTGTCCCAGAGGTGACTGCTGGTTGTTTAACTGGAGTATCACCACATCTCTGACAAGGGGTGCAGTTGAAAAGGAGACTCCTTCATAGTAACTGAATCCACTTGTTGGCAAACCAGCCATTCAGCTAACTGAGATAACAAGGAGCAGAGCAAGGACAAACACAGCAGGCCAAGCAGCATCAGAGGAGCAGGGAGGCTGACGTTTCGGGTCGAGACCCTTCTTCAGAAATGGGGGAGGGGAAGGGGGTTCTGAAATAAATAGGGAGAGAGGGGGAGGCGGATAGAAGATGGATAGGAGACAGACAGGTCAAAGAGACGGGGATGGAGCTAGTAAAGGTGAGTGTAGGTGGGGAGTTAGGGAGGGGATAGGTCAGTCCAGGGAGGATGGACAGGTCAAGGCGGTGGGGCTTGAGGTGGGAGGGGGGACAGGTTAGGGAGGCGGGGACATGCTGGGCTGGTTTTGGGATGCGGTAGGGGGAGGGGAGATTTTGAAGCTTGTGAAGTCCACATTGATACCATTGGGCTGCAGGGTTCCCAAGTGGAATATGAGGTGCTGTTCCTGCAACCTTTGGGTGGCATCATTGTGGCACTGCAGGAGGCCCAGGATGGACATGTTGTCTGAAGAATGGGAGGGGAAGTTGAAATGGTTCGCGACTGGGAGGTGCAGTTGTTTAGTGCGAACCGAGCGTAGGTGTTCCGCAAAGCGGTCCCCAAGCCTCTGCTTGGTTTCCCTGATGTAGAGGAGGCCACAACAGGAACAGTGATCTGAGCTAACTGACCCACATAACCAGTGTTCAGTTTATCTAATACGATGTAGCGGGGAAGAGGAAATAGTAGAATGGAATTTCCCACCACACATCATCACAGAAGGAATGTTGTCTATTGCATAAAAGATGGCAATTCAAGTAAGGAAGTAAAGAGGTGTCTTAAGGGCATAAATTGAAATAGTAGAATCGGTCTAACTGCCACCTGAAGGGATGGGGCAGGGGTCCTTTTGAGATTAGTGTATCAGAGTTCCTAATCGAAAGATGGAGTGCTATTTCATCAGCTTCCATGCTATTCTAATAGAATAGCAGAGGAGGCCAAAAGGCAGAGATTGGAGAAAAAATTAGATGGAAAATTAAAATGACAGACTCCCTCTAACGTCATTCTAATGAAACTCACCTCCGTACTCCATACATTCATCTCATGTTTTCTAATTACTAATGTAGATGGTGTATTACTCTTTATATTTGTAGGTAATTTGTATTAATTCCATAATTACAAAAATGGTAAGTATGTGGGCCTCAAATACACTGAAAATATGGCACAGAAACACTCCATGTTAGCACATTTGCTCCTTACAAGACTTCCCCTATTTTTCACCTAACCTGTTCTATCAGCAAATTTAGTTTTCATTCCTTTCTCCCTCACATAATATGCTTTCCTGGCTTCCCCTTTAAATGCATCCATACTATTCACTTCAACACTTGCTGTGGAGCAGGTTGTACACTCACCCTTTTTTTGCCCCCTGCAAAATGTTTTTCTGAATGCTGCATTTTGTTTCTTGATGGCATCTGTAAATATCAAAGGCAGAGGGAAGTCGGGCAAGAAAATGAAGTTAAGGTCGTAGATCATTCATGATTTTATTGAATAGTAGAGTAGGCTTAAGATAAGTAGTAGTTTTTAACCTTTTACTAAGGATTGCTTGTTCTCAATTTTGTGTCTATTGATTTCTGTAGTTGGGCAAAATTCTTTTTCCTTAAGTTTTTTTTAAACCTTGTGTATCATTTTGTAAATGGTAAGTGCACCCTGAACTCTCATTCTAGAGTTTAGTTTCAACCCCATAGTTTTTGATTACTTTCCCCATTTTCAGCTCTAACTTGACATAGTCAAGGACAAAACAGTCTGCTTGATTGGCATCATGTCCACAAACATTCAGTCCCTCCACTAGTGATGCTCAGAAGTATGCATCATCTCCAAAATGCACTACAGAAATTCACCCAGGCAGCTAAGACGGCACCTTCCAAACCTATGATCACTACCATCCAGAAAGATGAACATTAGATACAGGAACACCACCAACTGCAAGTTTCCCTCCAAACTACGCACGCTCCATTCTTGGAAATATGTCACAGTCCCTTCAGTGTTGCTGGGTCAAAATCTTGGAACTCTTTCCCCCTTGCCACCAACTGCATTGTGGGTATATCTGCACCAAATGGACTTCAGTGGTCCAAAAATCAGCAGCCACCACCTTCGAGGGCAACCATGGAAGGGCGATAAATGCTGGTCCAGCCAGCGATATCCACAGTCTGTGAATGAATTAATAAGAAGTTGTGGTTCAGTCCCTGTGGATCTTTGCTCACCCTGGCAGTTTGCAAAGCAACAGTATAATAAACTTTCATTCAAAATAGCAGAATAAAGTGCTAGAAATCAAAATATTTAACAGGTCATACCTGACTAATTCCAGCATTGTGATGACACAAACCTATCTTTTGCAAGCAGGTTTTAAGTTAACATAGGTCTACTAAACTGCCAGAATTTGGTCGAAGCATATATACCTGTGCTGAATGAAGAAAAAAAGGTTATATGCAATAATATAAATTGGAGGCAACACAGTTGACAGATGACAAAAAAAAGTAAATAAATTAAACTGCTTTATAGAGCTGAATTGGAAAGAGGTCAAGGTATGTTGATGTTTAATCGCTTTGTGATTTTCATCAGGTAGTTCTGTTTGCTGAATATAGTTTTATTGCTTAACACTAGTTGTGAGCTACAGAAATCCTTAAAATTGTTAATTCAAATGAACCAAAAGCCTTTTAAGAAGTGACCTTGAAAGAGCAACAATGAATTAAAATTAAAAAAGGAACCTTGAGTTACTAACCAAATAGTAGTATGGAACATGTGTGAATGTCTGAGATGTGTCCCATTGTTGAAACTGATAATTAGAGCCTTTATGGCTGCTCTTAAAAAAAAAAAGTGGGTAACACTAGTCTGGGAGAGATAGTAGGAACTGCAGATGCTGGAGAATCTGAGAT